CTTTAATCAGTTAATGTGTTGAACATTACATTTAACCAGTTAACCAATTAAACAGGATTTTACATCCCTACTTGAAATATAGAAAAAAATCTGTTACTTAGACCTTTTTTTTGTATTATCACACTTTGAAGGTATCTATTGGAATATCCTTCACTCTAAATGCAATTTTTAAAATTTATTTTTTGTCAAAATGACTAAATATGGTGAATTGAGCATTCCAGATAAATGTTCCTTAAGTGACCTACTTTGCAGGGGGGGAAAATCATGCATTTATAGTCTCTGGCACTGTATTCGGGTCACAGATGGACAGATAGCAAAGCTATTCCTTAGTGATTTGCTTAAATTATAATACTAATACCCAACAAGAATGAGGACATGCTCAATGTTAATTGTTCATGTTCCCTAAAAGAAGCTCATTGGAATATACTTTGATCTTAAACAAGAAAATCAAGGTTATTTCAAACAGTGTAAGTAAACAGTTGTTTTTACGTGCTTTGTACTTACAGTTAAATTATGAGAGGCAAGGTGGATATAGTAATATATATTTATTGGACCAATTTCTGTTTGCAATCGAGGCAAGCTTTTGAGCTTACACAGAATATATATAAATTAAAAATTCCGAGCTGGCCAATACCAGGTGAGTCAGGCTTGCGGGACTCGTACTAAGAAGCTGTTTAATTGCAGCGTAGATGCTTGAAATTGGGCTGACGCCTGAATCCTGGGATCCTCCCACCTCTTGGAATATTATGGGATGGTTTCTGAAAGACAGCAACCATCAGTGTAAGCAGTGCAGTGTGCACGGTGATGCTCTGTCAGCCTAACTACATCCACTTAAACCTTATAGCTCTCTCAGAGGTGGAGTTAAGTCAGCGTAGTGAGCAAGTTAAATTGTTAGGAGCGAAATTTTAGTGTTGACACTTACAGAGGAAGCTTGACATGTGCCTTACATCAACCTAGCTGTGTAGTATAGAAGATCACTGAGAGTTAGGTTGGTCTAGCTACATCTTTTGGATTTTTCACATCCTTGAGATACAGCTATAGCAATATACATTCCAGATATAAACCATCCCTGAGTACATTTCCCAGGCTTGGTCTACACTAGGAACTTACATCCATATAGCTCATGTCTTGGGGCATGAAAAATCCACACCCTGAGAGATGTAGCTAATGCTGGCCTAACCCCTGGAGTAGATAATATAGGTCAACAGAGGAATTTTTCTATTGACTAAGCTGGTGCCTCTCAGGGATGTGGATTACTTACACCCGTGGGTTAGTCTCTCCTGTTGACATAAGTACAAACTCTACATTGAAGCTTTACAGCGGTGCAGCAGTAGTGTTCCAGGTGTGGACAGATCCTTTGAGTGTCACAACTAAGCACGGATGGAACAGGATGTTTAGCAAAAGTAATTAATGCCTTTCAAAGGACCATTGAAGATTAAGTGGCCTTCTCCAGTCATAAGGGGGAAAAGAGGGGAAAAAAGAGGCTTGGGTGGGGATTTAGTGGGCTATACAGGTAGTCCCCGGGTTACGTACAAGATAGGGACTGTAGGTTTGTTCTTAAGTTGAATTTGTATGTAAGTCGGAAGTGGTACATATTGTAGGGGAAACTCTAGCCAAACATTTCTCCAGAGCTCAGTTTTATTCTCCCACACCTCACTTCCCTCAGTCCTTTATTCTAAAGCTGAGGTGTCTGCTGAGAAAAGCCGCTCCGCGTCTCCCTGGTCTGCTGGGGGGAAGCAGCTAGTGCGGGGTTGCCTCACCCCGTTTGTAAGTAGGGATCCGATGTAAGTCGGATCCATGTAACCCGGGGACTGCCTGTACGTTGTTTGTAATAAACCATAAATCCAGTGTGTCTAGTCTGTGATTTTTAGTGTCAAGCAAAGTTGTGAAACAAGATTTCAACAGAGCTCTTCAGGTCTGGGAAATGTACTCAGAATGTCACAGCTAAATACAAGGTGAAACAGACCGTTTAGTATAAGTAGCTAGCATATTTCAAGGGACCACTGACAGTGAAGTGGTCAGTTAACACCTCTCCAGTCGTAAGGGGGAAAAGAGGACACGAAAAGGTCAGGAAGTGGGTTATACCAGTTTGTTGCAATATGACAAATCAAGTGTCTCTAATCCGTGCATAATGTTTAGGCCCACTAGCAAGCTCACAGCAGCACAACTGTACTGATCAGCTGTATCATTGTGAGGTCTTTCATATACAAGAGAGAACTCTCCTGTTGACACAATATTACCACCTCAATGAGTGGCAGTAGCTGTGCTGGTCGGAGAAGCTTTCATAAAAAGGTCCAAAGGTCCATCTGGCCCAGTATCCTGTCTTCTGGCAGTGGCCAATGCCAGGCGCTGACATAGTGTTGTATAATCTACCACTTATGTTAATGAAATGTATGTTGCTCAGGGGAAGGTGTGTTTGTAGACATAACATTAGTGTCTAGCAAAGTTATGAATTTAAGATTTCAGGCTCATCTTTTGAAGGTGTCATGCTGGTTTCCTCTGAGGATGAGGGCTGAGAGGTCGGATAGAGAGATTACTCTGTGAAAAATCCTTAAATTCATAAGCTTTGCTAGGCACTAAACTTAAGGTTTGTCTGTTTTGGTTGGATATGTTCCTGGAGGTTTCATAGCGTGACATAATCTTTAATTAAAGATTAATCTTTAATTCCTGGAGACTCCAGAACAATCCTGGAAGGTTTAACAACCCTAATTAAAATCCTCTCACCAACAGGAGTTGGTCCTCTGGGAGATATTACCTCACCCACCTTGTCTCACTAATATCCTGGAACCAATATGGCCACAACACTATAGCAATCAAATTATTGCAAATTAGAGAAGCTGGAGATTGAAGATGTATTACTCTGAATCCCTCCCCTTGAGAAATGCAAGAATCAGTCCCCCAAATAGCAGGTGTGTCTGATATTAAACTGAAACTACACTTCAGCTACAGTAGAAGGCCAGGAACATGTCCTATAGATTTCTAATAGATGTTCAAACTTTTTTTCTTCCTGCTGTGTTTTGATCATAGAGGCAAGTAATAGCATAAATATGACTTTATGCACAGTGCATAAGCATTTTATTAAACTACTGTGGAAGCATCCCTATTTATACTGTGGATGTGTACATTTGTAATGGTCTGTTTTTTTTTCTTTATCCAGAGGCCATCCTGCTGTAGCACTAGGGTTGCCACCCATTTAGGTTTTATCTGGACAGTCCAGTTTTTGGCTTCTGTATCCAGGTGCCATTTATGGTTGCAGGTGCCTGGTTTTTAACTGGAAAGTCTAATTACCCTTGGGTGGTGGGAGACACTAATGCCATTAACCTGGTCCAGCCTGTTCTCAGCCAGAGCCAACTCCTACCTCCTTGTCAGGCTGCAGCAATTCCCATTCCAGCCCTGGAGCAGAAGGAGCCCACCTGGGGGAAAGGAGATGGGGAAGGGAAGTTGAGACAATCCAACAAGCAGTGCAGGAGGGGAGGAGGGAAGCAGGTGATGAAGGCACAATGTTAGGGGAAGAAGGGTGTAGCCTGGGGAAGAGGGGGAGAAAGAGGTGGGGTCTCAGTGGAAGACGCAGAGCAGGGTTGGAGTCTGGGTGAAGAGGAGTTGGGTGGGAGTCCAGTTACCAGCAGTTAGAAAGGTTATAACCCTAAGTAGCACTACTGTAGTTCGGGTTGAAAAGTTTCTTCCATTATCAGACATTCACTGTTTTCTGAAATCTACCTGTTAGGCTGAAAGTCTCCTGCTTTATCATCGCTATCAACTGGGGTTCTGTAGTGCAGCTCCTCCCTGATCCAAAAATTCCAACCCATGGGCTGGAAAGGGGCTGGAACAACTCTGCATTCCCTATACAGTTACAGCTAACTCTTGGTTCTGTGATGGTTCCCTATCATCCTACTAGAAAGAACACGCAGAGTGTGCAAGGAATGTATATTTCCTGAGGTGCTAATGTCACACTATTAGTCTACATATGTGGGCCAATTTAGTTAAACTGGTGTAAATGCCATTGTGGACATCTTATTCTTAACAGATTTAAACTAATCCAAAATATACCTGCTTTACCCAAAATAAGTATCCAAATAGTTTTTTTCTCTGGAGTAAATCAATTTAAAATACCTTTAGTTAAACTGATGCAATATCGGGGCATATCTTCAGCCCCCTGTATAAATTATTACTTCATTTACTTCAAACCAGAAGCTTGACTTCAGTGAAACTATGGCAGTTTGCCCCAGGTGAGGTTCTGCCTACTTGTTTGTAGACAAGCCTTATATTTCATGGGAAATCTGGAATTTTGGTTTTCTCCAGGTATGTTCTCAGTTCAGTAAGCAGGTAGTCAATGCCAAGTAGGTATGATTTTGCGTTCTTTTCATAGCTAGGAAAGCTCAGGCTGAATGGCTTGGAATCTTGTTTGACATTTTTACTCTTTTGTGGATGCTATTCTGTATTTTCTGCCCTGTTATTTGAGAACATTGTTGTTCTATAACTGAGCAGTTCTGGGGATTTTTGCGCAAAATGTAACTGTTTGTTAAGGAAAAGAATAAAGTAATTTGATACTCGTTACTTTAATCAGGTCCTGATTCTACTAGGTATCTATATTCAAATATGTTCAACTTTTGTAATGTCTTAAAGTAAAATAAATCTGAAATAATAACTATATTGTCATAGTTTTGCTAGTGGGTATGAAATTTTATTGGGGAAAGTACTGATACTGTGAAGTTATTCTGCACCATCAAAAATCAAACTAGACGAATTAAGGAAGAATATGGCCTGTTATTTTATGTAATCACAAAAAATACTACAGAAGGCACAATAAAATCCTTTACAGAAATACCAGTAGGTGTTGTGAACAGTGTATTATGAAAGTCTGCTTTAAAATAATGTTCAAGACCACTGTATAAATTGACTGCCTGAGAATATGCTTGGGAAATCATATTGGTGTAGTTCTATTGAAAATTCCCATTCTAAATACATGAAAAGTTCTACAGCCAATGTCTAAGTTTTAGATATGCATAGCAGGGGCAGTAATAGAATTGTTGTGGAATCTAATGTCCTGGAAAATTAATGCTTTAGGAATATTTAATGCCAACATTCTAGTGTTCAAGCAATATTAAAACAGATCCAGGCTATGTCCTTGGCATAGTGGGGAGGGGATAATACAAATGCACAGGTGCAATGCAGTCAGTAAAGCTCACACTTCAACCATTATTTATAGTAGCTGGAATTTTTCTTCTGAATTAGTAATCCATAAGTTTACCTAGTATTAAGATGGCTATATAAAAGTTAAACAAATATATCTCCTTTTCCATGCTGCATTAAGTTAAAATATAAAATAATCAACAGTCTTTGATTAGCATGTACATTTATTTGGGAAAAAGCATTTGTGTACTATAATATATTAGCATATAATTGTGTACATATTTTTATAAGGGGGAAGGGACCTCAAATGTAACTTACACATGTGAGCAACTGTACTCATGTAATTAGGCCTGTTAAGTTCAGTGTGATTGCTTGTATGCATGAAGTTATTTAGCTGAACAAGTTTTGTCAGGATCAGAACACAAGGGAGGAAATAATATGATGTTTTTATTAAGTAATGCCTATTAAAATGAATGAGCTGGCTTCCTTAAGTATGTTCTTAATAGATTTTGCTCATCTGTCAGGCTGCCACCACTGTTAAGTAAATCTGATAATCACCCATAGAAGCAAAGAATGAGAATTTTTTTCAATAATTACTTCTCTTGCCTTTGCTGAAAGAAATGAGTCACAACCTTCCCTTATAATCTTCATTCTTCTGAAAGTAGGATTTTCATTGTTTTAAAATTTAGTCATTTTACTCTGTTTGGGGGAAGGGGTTGACATTCTCAATTGTAAACTTATAATCGGTTAAATAGCTCCTGAAATGCATGCTAGAGGATTTTTTTCTACCTTCTGTTAGGAAGGAAAATGTTTAACTTATTTAAAACAACAACAACAACGTACTATTCACTTTTTGTAGGGGGAGCCTTTAAACAATTCGTAACATACGGGTTTAAAGCTGAGTATCACATGGGATATACGGAATTGCTCACAAACACCCCTCAGCTGCTCATTTAAAATGGCATAAATATATTTTAAAAATATGTCAGCCAGTTTGTATGTAAGGTTTGAAGCAGCGTAGGCTGCATATGTGCATAGGATAAGAAAAGGAAACTCCGATGGTTAATATAGTGATACTGAATGAGTTTCTGTGTATATAAGCAATATTCAAACCCAATGTAAGCCTGCAGGCAAACCCATATTTCTTCAGGGCCAGAGAGCACTTGAATGTTGTTTTTAAATGTTGTTTATGCCCCTGTGAAAACAAAGCATAGAAAAATGCATAATAATAGTACAGAGCAAGGTAAATGCTTTTCAATCTATGCTTTTTTATTTATTTGTATAGTGACAACATTCTACAAGGCTGTGTGTTTATGCTACTGTATGTACCTGCTTGTGTATGTTAATACACTCAACTATAGGTACCTACTGGTGTTTTCCTTTCTTTGTGTGTATTGTATATGACTATAGGGCTTGTGTATATCCGATTGATTGATTGCTCCTGGAAGTTGAAGCTCTCTGTTTATCCAAAGAGCAGCTATAGGATAGGTAGGGATTGTTTTCCTATAGTGCTCTGCCTATATAACTGAACTCCAACCTGCATGAATTTACTCTGTGAGGGCAAATCTACATTGCTACTGTGCCACAGTAGCAGCAGCAGCTGGGCGCTCCAGAGTCTTTTGAATCACTGGGCCCTGGAGTAGTTGTCCCCTTTGCCCCTCCCCCATCAGTGGGTTTGGGGGGACATGATGATTCCTTGGAAGGTAACTAACTGTGAGACATGGAAACAATTCAAGGTGGTTATTGGCATTCATGGAGATGCTGCAGGTGGTGGGTGTTAGTTCTGGGCCCCAGAAACAAGCCCTAGATCAACTAGATCAGCATGTGTACCTTTCTCATTTGAGCTTTAAATTGAGATAGTGTTTTTTTTTTTTTTTTTTTTTTTAAATTAGCCCTTTGGTTTTTCTTTATTTCGAATAATTTCTGAAAGACAGCACTTCAGCAATGAAGAGCCAAAAATTAAAAAAAAACAAAACAAAACAAAACCTTGATGCTATGATGATCTGCATTATGATGATCTTATTTTATGTTTATAGTTCGACAATCAGCAAACATTGGGAAGCAGAACTGGCCACACTTAAGGGTAACAATGCCAAGCTCACAGCAGCTCTGCTGGAGTCCACTGCCAATGTAAAACAATGGAAACAACAGCTTGCTGCATATCAGGAGGAAGCAGAACGTCTACATAAGCGGGTGAGTGTAGCTACCATTCTTGAAATCCATAAGTCTGAAGAACTAGTGAATATATGTGATTATTTTGAAGTAAATCAAACATATAATATGGTGATCTCTCACCTTAAATTGTGCACTGAACTTTTTCCTAGGAATTTACTCAAAACCCCAGGGTGATATTAAGTATTCTATAACATGAAGGGTTGTAAATTGTCATAAGAAATGTGTACATTTTTATATCACTTATAGTGTTGTAATGGGGTGTGGCACCTTTCACAGGCAAGTAACACATGATCCCAAATCACCTTCACATATCTTTGTGCATGCAGGTACCCTTCGTTCCATGTGGAAAAGGATCAGGTTGCCTCCTAAATGCTCAGCATCCGCAGTGAGGAGGTGGAGACTAGGCAGACCGGAGAAAAGAGTAGTCAGTCCAGAAGCAGATTTTGTGTGTATTTGGGGGCGAGAGAGGAAGTACATGTTGCAGTCACTTAATCTCTAGGAGGAAGTTCTTGAACAAGGGAGTCTCCACTACTGAGATTAAGGAAATGTGATGCCAAACAGCCTGTGTTGGGGTTCTTTGTGAGTAGCTGCAGAGGCCCAGTGGATACTTGGAGGTGGTTGTTGCAAGGGCATGTGGATTGCAACTGCTTTAAATACTAAGGAGAGGGGATCACCACATGGGAGTGTAAAGGATTTTTTATTCAACTAAAACTGGGAAGGGAGGGGAATCTCATTCATACAGTCAATCACACTTACAGTCCCAGGCAGGATGATAAGGCGAGCAGAAGGCAGTTCATATTCTTTGATCTTCCCAAGTTGACTCCTAAGCTGGTCCGCTGGCCAGGCGATCCGAGCAGAGGGCGTTCTGGGAGGCTTCACTTGATAGTCCACCACCACTGTGTCTCTCTCCCTCTCTGTCCCTCTCTCCTTCAAGGATCAGCCACATGCAGCCTCTGAGTCTAGGCCTGCTGGGGGCCGTGTGCACACCCTGCTGGGGGCCGTGTGCATTGTTGTTTACTCCTGCTGTTTACCTCAGACATTCTTCTGCACTCACTCAGGGAAGGGATAGGGGGTTAACAGACAACACTCCAACAGTTTAAGGAACCAAATAACATTAACAGGTGAGAAAGAACAACCACCATTTTAACTGTCCCCTTACTTCTCCTTTGCCTCCAACAGTGGTGACCAGGCAGACATTGGAAGGGTGGAGAATCCTGGTGAGGTGTGATCCTTAAGGATATTTTCTTCTCAAAGTCTCCTTTTGAGAGTTTTGCTGTGGGAAGGGATGATTATCTGGGCCCTGATTGCATCCTTAGAGGCGACGAGCTTGATTTTTCCATTAGGGATATAAAAGTGTAGCCATTTAAGCTGGCTTCACCACAGGCTCTGCAGTATAACTTTAATGCAGCAGATCCCTAAGCTGGTTTCCATCACATACAAGGTCCTGGCTGCCCACTCCACTTCTGGGTAGGGTTGTCAACATGTAGCCAACTACGTGATTAACTGATAAAGGTGGGCTTGTCATTTAATCTTGTCATCTACGTGCACTTTTCCCACCCCGTCGTCCTCCCCCGTGCTGGTGCCTCTGACAGAGTGCGAGGGGGGCAGGCAGGAGCTAGTACACACAGGAAGCCAGCTTTCAAGCCAGCTCTCCACGTGC